TGGTCCCCCCCAGCCGCCGGCGGCATCACGTCGAAGCCGTGCAGAGACAGCAGCGCCTGGTGTGGCGAGGTCAGCGCGTCCGAGGTGCCGCTGCCGTCTGCTGCCGCCCTGCGGGGGCCGACGCGCGGGACGGTCTCCGCGTCCGCCCTGCACGGGGTGGGATACCGGGACCGGTAGGTACACCGGTAGGTCTCAACAAAGCTGTCGTCAAAGCTTCCAACGCAAAGCTGTCATCCAACACAAATGTGCCTCACCAGCACGGCTTGCACGGCTGCCGTACTCGGTGCACGGCTGCTAGGGTTTCTTCCAACGCAAAGTAAGCTTCCAACATTCAATGTGCACACCAGCACGGGCGCACGGCCGCTATCCTGTATGTATGTTGCTATACCCCTGCTGCCATGTACACTGGTACACGGCTGCTGATGTACTACGGAGTGCTTCTAGTGCGGGTTGCCGGAATACGGCTCGCTGCTGTCACACGGCGGCTTCGTTTACTGTTGCTGTTGTGGTGCCGTACCGACGTGTACTGTTAGACTGTACTGCGGTGCCGCCCAGCGTTCGCTCGCCCACCCTCGCCGGCTCGGGCCACCACACGGCGGGGACAACTGCCAACGCCCCTCCGATTCCCGGCAGTGCAAAGCAAAGACAGCTCACCCCGCATCGCCCAACGTACTGCTGCTGTACCGCCAGATCTCCCTCACCCTTGCCTGCACGGGCCACCACCACACGCAAAGCAAAGCAAGACCCACGCACCCTGCATCGCCCAACGTGCGCGCCCCGCCGGCAACGCGGAACCTTGACCTTCTGGCCGACGCTCAGGGACATCGCCGCCTTGAACGCCTTCCTGAAGACGACGTCGTCAGCCACCGGCGTCATGTTCGCGGCCTCCTCCTGACCAAGCTCCTGACCAAGCTGCAACCGGTTGGCGGCATCCAGCAACACGAGCACGCTGCGGGCGTTCGCCAGGGTGGACCTCCCGGCCTGCGGACGGTCCCATCCATCCAGGAGACATCGAGAAGGCGGGTGTGTACGTATTAGGTCCCTGTATGTGTGAGGTGCGGTGGCGGCCCCCGGGGGGAGGACTGGGACCGGGGAAACCCGCGCCGTCACCCCACCTCTTCTGCTCCCTTAACCCACGCCGCGGCCTCCGGTCGGGCGTATTATTATTATTCTTATTATATTATTCCTGTGCGAGGTAATCTTCGTGCGATGTGTGTCAACGATCACGCACACAGCACACAGCCCTTTGGGAGGGCAGACAGACACGCAGAAGGGCAGGAGGCGCGCGCGCATGTCGAGGCGCAGCTCGCTAGGCGGATGCAGGCGGGGGGCTAAACCACCGGACCAACCCCAACGCCTACGGGCATTGACATTGCACAACGGACGACGACACGCGAGCGATGGCTGCGACGCGGCGTGGGGAAGAGGGCTGTGCTATCTAGGCGCCCAGGCAGCGGGGGAGCAGGCCGGACGGACAGCAGTCAAGGGATGGAGGGGCGCGCGACTGCCGTGGCCGTGTGCGGGGAGTGAGGCGCGCGCGTGTCGAGGCGCAGCTAGGCTGGATACTCGACCGACAACTCACGCACGGCGCACCCACCTTCGACAGCGTCAGCTTGCGGAAGAACTTGCCAGCAACCGCCCCCAGCGCGTGCGAGTACAGCTTTGCCGGGTCCACCTTCGCCGCCTTGCAGTGATCCTTGATTGCAGCAGGAAAGGAACCGGGGGGGGTGTTCGCAGGGTGAGGTCACACACGGTTCGCGGTGTGTATGTGTGTGTGTGCGTGTGTGTGATTGTTACATATCTGACCGGGCCCTGACGCTGGCCAGGGGCTGCTAACCCAGCCCTGACGGAAAGACCGCCTAAGCACTCTCCCCCTTGTGTGTGTCCCCACTCACCGTCCCGCTACCCACGCACCGTCCCGCGCGACCCACTCGCCGTCCCGCTACCCACTCACCACGAACTTGTTGAACTGAGTCCGGTAGGCCTTCTTGGTGTTCTCGGGCGCGCCATCCGTGATGCGCTCAAACAGGTCCTGCAGTTCCGCCGCCGAGTAGGCAGTAGTGGCGCACTCCTCACGGGCGCCGCCGCCCTCACCCTCGCCACCGCTGTCCTCGGCATCGTCATCCCGGGCACCGTCGCTGTCGTCGTCGCCATCGCTGCCGCCAGGGGCGGCATCAGCCCGGCCGCGCCCGCTGCCCCCAACCCCCCAGCCCTCACGCCCACGCCGGCCTCTGCCTCTGCCTCGTCCACGCTGAACGGACTGAGGGCCGCCCTCACCGTCGTCGTCACTGTCACCCTCAGCGCCGCTGGTGCCCCCGTCATCATCGCCCACGCCGCCGCCGTCGCTCTCATCTTCGCCGTCGCTGCTTGCAGGGGCGGCAGCGGCGCGTGGCGCACGCGTGCAGCCTCTCCCCCGCACGCGACGACCTCGTCCACGCTGCGCTATCCACGGGCCCTGCTGCGACGTTTGCTGCTGCTCTGTCCATGAGCGCTTCCTACAGTGTCAGCATCCAGGGTGAAATGTAACGCGGGTGAGCGGACTAGGAACCGGCGCCAGATGGGCAAATCAACTCACCGTCCTCGGCTGACGGGCTGTCCCGCGTGATGCTCAACGTCCCCTTCTGCTTCTTCCGCAACGCCATCTGGTTCGCATGCAGCTGCGTCATCGTAGGCGCGCTCTAGGTCGAGCACAGCTGTCGCCATGGACTCAGAGGGCGGCTCCTTTCCAAGTTTTGCGCCTTGGCCCCATGGACGCTAAAGGTTTAAAACGTATAGAACGTCCGCAGGACGTCTGTTATGTTGCTTAAATGCAGTAGGTTAACTGGATAGTCAAGTTGCGGTTGCGCACGGGCACTGGTTGTCAGCCCGGTTATTGCATACATTAAACTTTATATCTTGGTAAATAATTTATTATGAAAGAGTAACAATTAGCGTGTAACTGCGAGTAAAGCACACAGCATTCGCGCGCTGGTTTGGGGGACAGCAAAACGGGGGCTCTGCAGGACTTGCACAGAATCTAGGCGCAGACTGTACCCTTAAGTTTACCGTGAGAACGGATATAATAATAACGAGTATGTCTAATGAATGCGCTTAACGTATGCGGGACTATGTGCCCGGTGAGTCGGCCACCCATGGCCTCCCGGTCCAGCCGAGCACTTTTGTCTGTGCAAACCCCACCGCCGGGCTCGTTGTGAGCGGCAGCTTACGTGGTTTGAATTTATTTGAAAATATGCGGACATGTCGGGATATGTTGAGGAACGCTGCGGCGGACGCTCCAACCGTCCGCCGGAGCGTCCGCCGTCGCTGATGAGGGTACCCACGGCGGTCGAATTCAGTTATCTTATAAACGTATCATAAAATAACTATGTGAATGCCGGTTCTTGTATCCTTCATCGAATCTGACGCGCAGCTGTCGTGTCCTGCACGCACTAATGGTCTGACGCGCAGCTCCTTACTCGATTTAAACTTGCGTGCGCGTGCGTACCGAACCTTCTGGTGTATACGTCGGAATGCGTGCTACTTGCACGCATTAACTAACTTGACTGTTGATATTTCTGCTTGTATTCTACCGGAGTATAGTACGTAACTGCGTGGCATATATATGCAGCAGGTTTCTACGTACGTACACAGCCCTGCCGGCATGCATGTCTGCCCATGCATGGCAGGTCTGATCTCTTACGGGTAACGGCAGCACATACATGCATGCGTATGTATGGCGAACCTCTGACGGTTCCGGCTGTTGTGTTTCGTTCCGCTACCGCCGCACGCACCAGCTGGCCGACACCAGCAGACACCAGCGACGCACAACAGCTGCGGAAATGCCCACGACCAACGAAGCATGCATCTGCATGCATGCGAAGGAGCCGCTGGTGTATGTGTGTATATATGTGGCAACCGAACTTGCCATGCATAAGTGCAAGCAGACCTCACTCCTGACCGCCACGCAGCCCACTGTGTTTGTGGCCGTACGTGTATGTAACCGTGGTTGTTAGTGTGGATGGTTGTTGCAGTGGGCTCCAGACCCCCGGAAGATCAGGGACAGCAGCGGGCCAGCAGTTGGCCGTGCAATGTTCCAGAGACAACAAGTAAGGGCATGCACGCTGCCGGCGCCAGCAGAACGGTCTTCCGTGCATGCACCAGTCATGACACGCACCCCCGCCGCGCGCCGTGACCGAATGGTAAAGATTCTTTACTTTGGTGGTGGAGTCATGGTAAATAGTGCTTGTGGAGGCACCTTTTTGCACAGTAGAAGTAATATTTCGCAAGCAAAGTCAATGAGAACGACGTATCAGCGTTAGACGTATACAAAACGAAGCCGACAGGACTCGAACCTGCAACCCTCAGATCCGAAGTCTGATGCGCTATCCATTGCGCCACGGCTCCAGAGCCTTCATGCAAACATATGGCACTATAATACATATATGGATGTACTAAAACTTCTTTGGACTCCGGATTTCTGACCAGACTAGAGCAGGGATGGATCCCTGCTCTAGTCTGGTCAGAAACTCTTACAGCAATTGAATTGCTTGATGATTCATCAATAGCAACCTGCAGTGGGAAAACGCAATGTCTGGGTCATACTTCACGCACTTGACTTGCTTGTGTGGGCTGGTGTAATTAGCTGCCAATATTAAAGGTAAGGACTCTGAACCTGTGAGAGTGTTGATGTGTTCTTTGTAAGAAATCGCAGGGGCCATTCATTGTGTGATGCATCTTACACTGCCGTTCACCTTGGTGGAACTTCCCCCTGCGCACTTAGGGCCTTGCAAACTTGTGTAAAGGCATACCTCACCAACCCAGGCAGCAAGGGAGCAATACTACTCCAGTCCATCCCTGGACCCTGGTACTTGTTGGAGCACTTCGTTTTCATCCCTGCTAGCATGGACCTACTACATGGACCTACCAGCATATGGACCTAGCATATGAACCCTAAGGGTGTGGATATCTTGTGAAGTATGGGTGGCACCAACACCATATTGAGATGCGTGGTGCAGGAAAATCGCCGTCACGGGGAATCGAACCCCGGCCTCCCGCGAGCAGGTATGTGATGACAGGCGGGGATACTGACCACTATACGATGACGACTGCACCCCGTGAGGATCGATCAGAATCCCTCGAACCCGACCTATCTGATCATCCCAGCTATGCTGGGCTGTCATGATAAATTTAACACACGCATAGTGGTAACCTAGACCACAGCATGTAGCGTGCTTGTCTTACTGTTGGGCGGGCCCCCACCAGTGAGGCTGGTGGGCATGCGAGCGTAGTGAGGGGCATGCAACCATGCATTCCCTCGGTCGTGCCAGCGTACGTAGGGCTCACAGCCCAGGTAAGCCCTACCCCCCCGCCCCCCCCCAACACACACACACACGCACACGTTGTCACGATAGGTCCAGGGTGGCTATCTTATTTTGCCGAGTATCTACGGCCAGAGATACTCCTGGCTCAGAAGCGCTGAGAGTATCTGTCAGGATCTGTCTAGGAGGGGATTTTCCCGGCTAAACACGGTCCCGGGAGATATCATGCCCACCTGTGAGGCCGAATTATCTAAACCTTCAGCTTTTTGCACGGCAAAAGTATCTCCAGATTTCCAAACTTTTCTCCCGAATACATATCTATATCTTAAGATAGCCACCCTGGATAGGTCCCGGTCCCAAACCACCGTGCATCTATCTGCAACTATGTACTGACGGTTCCCCAAAACAATGTAGAGAGTAGGTAGGTAGGTAGGTGCTGCCCCCGGATGGCCGTGCACGCACGCGTGCAGTGCAGCGCTTGTCATGCATGCTCTCCTTGCTTGCTTGGTGGGGCAGCCACCAGCCAGGCTGGTGTGCCAACCAGGATGTACACAGCCCTCAGTCAGTCAGTCAGTCAGACAGTATATCTGCCGTGTGCATACGCAGCCGCCAACTAACATTGGGCACGGAGTCCCCGGTTGTGTCTCACCGTGCGTGCTGCAGTGCTGCCCAGCCTAGCCCAACCTTTTTTTGTTGTTACCGTACCAGTAATATACCGTAAACGAATCAACCAAGCAGCAGAAACCTCGCTGCCAGAAGGAAGAACCAGTAAGTACCACGTATCCCTTTCAATAATCGAATGCCGGGGGTTCAACAGACCCGGCCAGTCCAGGGTCCCACATACAGCGGGCCCCACATACAGGTGCTACCGTAGCCGCACGCACACACCTTGATGTCAAGGTGCCACACGCGGGGGTGTCCAAGCAAACCCACGTTCTTGGTCCTCTGCGTTTCATCACGACCGACGCGCCCAGTCCATGCGTGCGGGCGCGTTCCCACCAAACCTCCTTCGCTCCCCCCCCCACACACAGACCTTCCCCCTCCCACCCGCCCAGCCCACTGCGAGGCGGCCACGATGTCTCAGTGGCGCCGGCTCAGCCCGACTCGGCTCAGTCCAGTCCGGCTGAGCGCAAGTTGGATTGATTGAGCTGGGTTAGGATGTATGTGTGCAGCCCCCGCCATCGCAGCTGCACCCACCATCGCAGCTGCACCCGCCATCGCAGCTGCAGCCCCATCAGAGGTACGGTGATTAGGTGTTTGTTCGGTGACAAAGGCTTGCTCGCTGGGCCCGAGACCCAACGTCGTCTAGCCTCCGACACTTGCTTCACCACCGGCGTTAGTTCGTCCGTCTTTCCTCCCCGGCAGGTTACGCTCCGACCCAAGTACGGGTCGTACAGTCCAACCCGGCCGTGTCGGCAGGTCGTCAGTGTCACAAACCCCAGGTAGGGCTCGCACGCATTCCTTCCGGGTCCTCCCGCCTCCGCGCATCTCGCTTCGCTTTGCACGGCAGAAAGACAAGAGGGCAGATAGACACGGGCGAATCGCATCGCTTCGCATCGCTTCGCATCGCTTCGCATCGCTTCGCATCGCTTCGCATCGCTTCGCATCGCTTCGCATCGCTTCGCATCGCTTCGCATCGCTTCGCATCGCTTCGCATCGCTTCGCATCGCTTCGCATCGCTTCGCATCGCTTCGCATCGCTTCGCATCGCTTCGCATCGCTTCGCATCGCTTCGCATCGCTTCGCATCGCTTCGTTTCATTACTCGCTCGCCTTCTACAGCCCAACCCAACCAAACCAAACCCAATGCAACCTCGGGGCCCCGGGGACAATTGAAAACGAGGCCGCAGCGCTGGAAGGGAAGGGAGACAACGCTCCCTCCCCGCCCGGGGGGAGGGGGCATGTGGGGTCCCAGGGGACACGGTTCCCACACCACTCCACACCGCACCACACCACACCGCACGACCAGGTCTCTTCAACCGCTGCCGACTGCTTTGCTTTACATCACGGCGCCGCTGCCGCCAGCAGACGCTGTTGTCGCTGTGCTCGCCGCCGACTTCTGTGCCTCCTGCTGCTCCTGCTGCTGCCCCTGCTGCCCCCCCTCCTGCTGCTGCCCCTCCTGCTGCTGTTGGCCCTGTCGTACCATGTCCGTGTACTTTGTAAAGTTGATGTGTTTGAGTCCCTCCATCTTTGATATCTCCTCCACCACCTCCGCAATGATGCGCCGACCGCCCTCACCGCCAACCTGCTCTCCAGGGGGGGGGAAGGGGGGAAGGGGAGGGGGGAAGGGGAGGGGAAGGGGGAGGGCTGGGTTGTAAGAGTGCAGGGGAGGGGAAACTAAAACAGCCCGGGAGGGGAGGACAGGGGCGATAAAAACACAGGGCAGGGCAGGGCAGGGGAGGGCAGGGCAGGGCAGGGGAACGGTTGCCAATGCACCAGTCCTCCCTCCTCCTCACTCCCCCCGCAGCTTTTCGCGAGGCCACCATCATCTTCACCCTCCCACCCCTCCCCTCTTACTCCCCCGTCCCCATCCCCTTCCAACGAACCCTCCCCACCCCCTCCCCACCCCCGACCCCCCCCCCCCCTCCTCCCCACCCCCGAAACCCCCCCTGGACCCACCCGATGTGCCTGTGTGTACGCCGCCAGGAGTCGCCGCAGGGCGGTCTGCGTGGCCGGCACGGTACGGCGCCGTACGAGCTTGCACGCCTCCCAAGAGGGGGTGGTGGGTATGGCGGTGGGTTCAGACGAGTTGGTGATGTCGTATATGGCCCCCGACACGCGGCCCGCGTAGTCTCCCTTGACGATCACGTACCACTTGCCGTCAACCACCTGCGTACGTGTGTGTGAAATTATTGTGAGTGTGTGTATATGTGAACAAAACATGTGAACAAAAATACCAAATACCACATTCTTATTATTATTGTGTTGTGGGTGTATGTGAACGTGTGTGCATGTGTGTGAATGCGTGTGTATGTGTGTGAATGTGTTTGTGGGGGGGTGAACAAATATGTGAACAAATATCAAATGCCCCATTATTATTAATGTTGTGTTGTGGGAGATAAGCTTTAGGAGAATAAGACCATACCAGCAGCCACCTTTCCCACCCACCCACCCACACACCCTGGTAGCTCGGGGGGGGGGGGGGTGGGCGGGGTAGCTTCGCCCCTCCCCTCCCCTCCCCCCTGGTAAACCCTCGGTAACCCCTCGGGGGTTGTCCACGTATAGGCTGGAGCCCGTGAACGGTAAAAGTAACAGAAGGATACCGTAAGAATTCCGTCTCATCTGCAAAAGAACAGTAACTACTCGGGGGGGGGAGGATGTACAGCTACTGGTAGTGCCGTACCTGCGCCGCATTGATCGAGTTGACCTGCACCTCCGTAAACGCCTGGTCATTGTCGTACCTGCATATGCCGTATTTCCGTACGCACAGACACGGAGAAAGCACATGACCGTCGTTCAAGGGAAGAGAGAATGGCGGGAAAAGGATGTCTGGGTGTGCAGAGAAGTGGAGACACAGCGCACGGCAGGCAGTTTACCGGGGTTATCCACGTATAGGCCGGAGCCCGTAAACGGTATCAGATCAGTTTACCGGGGGGGGGGGCAGAAGGGTTATCCACGTATAGGGGCAGAAAGGGGGGGCATTTCCACACACACACATATGGACGGCGTTGGTGGTGTGGTGGTGGTGGTGGTGGCGTTGGGGATGGGGAGCCGAGCAACACAGAAACGAATTGACCCCATCTTCGCCCTCCCCCTCCCCTCCCCTCCCCTTCCCTCCCCTCCCGTCCCGGACCCCGAACAACTCCCAACCCCACGCGGCCACACGCCCCCCCAAAACAACCCCCAGCTCCCCCGCCCTCCACCCAGCCCCCCCCTGCCTCACTCCTCCCCCTCCCGCCCCCCACGTATCCCCCTCTCCCACACCCACCCACCCACCCACCCACCCACCCCCGCACCCACCCACCCCCACCCACCCCCCCACCCACCCTACACCTCCCCACCCCCCAACCCCTCTCCCACACCCACCCCACCCCCCCACCCACCAGCACAGGTCCGCCTCCCCCCTCTTCCTGCGCGCATCGTCCTCCAGACACAGGTTCCACTTTGCGTTGTTCATGAGCACTCGTGAGGAGATGGAGGGGTGGCCGGTGAAGTCCGCTCGCACATTGACCACGATGGGGGTGGTGTTGGAGTTGACGCCGCAGTCTGCAGCAGCAGCAGGAGGAGGGGTGGGGTTTGGGGGTTTGGGGAGTGGAGGGGTGGGGAGTGGGGAGTTGGGGGTGGGGTGGAGGGGGTTAAACATAAAGACAACGCCACCACGGGGGGGGGTTACATAGGGGGATAGAAAGGGTTGGGGTTGGAAAAAGGGAGGCGGAAGGGGCGCAAAGGCGGGCGGTAGGGGCATAACGGGCGGGTCCCGGAGTTACCCCTGCATTAATCTGCCATGATGATGGCTACCGTACTGCAAAAACACCGCCCCGCGGCCCACAATCCCCCTCTGCCCTTCCCTCTCCCCTCCCCTCCCCTCCCCTTCCCTCTCCCCTTCCCTCTCCCCTTCCCTCTCCCCTTCCCTCTCCCCTCCTCACCCGCCTGGCATCCGAACCTGCCCCAAGATGGGAACTCCCAGGGCCACTCGCAGTTGCCATCACCACACACCGGGTCCTTCCAAATGGGCAGCAACACCTGGGGGGGGGAGGGAGGGGTGGGAGGGGTGGGAGGTGGGGAAGGAGGGGAGGAGGGCCGTGGAGGAGAAGGGAAGGGACGGGAGGGAGAGGGGGCAAACAAAACAA